GGACATGTTCTTCTTCATTGCTTCTTTCACAGAGACACATGAACCAGAACTATCCTTCCTCCGTTTAGCAAATACCTTGGTTGCTCAGACTTGGCCTATGCCTATGCCCAGATGCTGCTCATAGATGAACTGCCTTTCATTGCAATCCATTTGGCTATGTTTTCCATAGCAGCATGAAACCTGGAATTAAGGAGAAACTGCCTAACGGTGAGGACAATTAACCAGGGGAACAGCTTGCCTTCAGAAATCGTGGGTGCTTCATCACTGGAGGTTTTTAAGAAGAGACTGGACAGTCACTTGTCTGAGATGGTATATAGGTTCTCCTGCTTGAGCAGGGGGCTGGAATAGAAGACCTCCAAGGTCCCTTCCAGCTCTGTTCTATTCTATTCTATATGCACTCCACCTTGACATACCAATTTCTTGCCAGAAAAATGTATTCGGTGTAAACTTAGATATTTTTCCCTGTAACTTTACATATAATCACATTTTACTTAAATTATAATCACATTTTGGTAATTTTAGCTGTTATCACATTTTATATTAGAATCTACTTTATAGTCTAGACATAGATTGCTCTTTTTGAGCCTCACTCACAGATTCAACTTAGGTAGTTTTATAAATGTATTTTAACTTTGTCTTAAATTTTATTTATTTTATATTAAGATAGATTTAAAAATACTCATAGAGCACTTATGGATACATTGCTTAAACTAGTCTAAATTAAGCACAGTTCCAAATATGGCATAGGTTTATTTTCAGATGAGACACATCAGTACAGTGCAGTAGAAGCTTCCCTTTGTATGAATTTATATATATATATATCAATTTAATAATTTAAACTGAATGCTTTACTGGGTAAACCACTGTGAAAATGTTGCTATGTAAACTACTGTGGAAGTGCAATTATGTGTTGATGTGGCTGTGCGTGTAGTGTCAATACGATAAGAGTTTTACAACTTTGTCTACAAGAAAACATAAAAATAGCATCCAGAGGAGAAGTTACATATGATGTTATCTCAGAAGAAAGTCACTCCAAGTTCACTTACATTTTCAGTGCAATTTCAGCCAGGAGGGAATTCATTCCAGTGTGTTAAATGTTGCTGCTTGTGTACAGGTAGTCCTCGACGTATGACCACAATTTCTGTTGCTAAATGAGACAGTTAAGTAAATTTTGTCCCATTTTATGCTCTTTCTTGCTACAATTGAGTCATTGCAGTTGTTAAGTTAGTAACAGAGTTATTAAGTGAATCTGGCTTCCTTATTGACTTTGCTTGTCAGAAACTTGGAAAAGATAATCACATGACTCAGAGACACTGCAGCTGTCATAAAAATGAATCAGTTGCCAAGTGTTTGAATTTTGATCAGGTGACCAAGGGGAAGCTGCAATGGTTGTGAGAAAAACGGTCCTAAGTCATTTTTTTCAGTGCCATTGTAACTTCAAACAGTCACTAAATGAACTGTTGTAAGTTGAGGACTACCTGTATTTAAAATGCCATCTACTAAATCAAGGGTGTCAAACCGCCGGCCCGCAGGCCCGATGCATCATAGTGAAACTGCGCCCACCCCATTGCCAACAAGGGCAAAAAAGTCACGATACGTCGAGGCACATAACATGACATTGTGAGTTTGACACCCCTGTTCTTTAAAAATACAGATCTCACAGCGCAAGCACTTAACCTAGCTTTTCGATTTAAACATTTCTTGACTCTTTCATGCTTGCCTGATTAAAAGTCGTGGTAAACTAATATACCCTTTTGAGCCATTTGGTCCTGTAGACTTCGGATTTTCAAAGAAACACATGAAAAGAAGCCCTGCATTTCAGTACTGTTCCTCCAGAAAAAACAATGCCAGAAGAAGGCCTGCCCTACCATTAGGCAGACATACAATCAGCTGGACTGTTGTAAAAGGGCAAGGAATCCTTCACTATTGAATGTACAGGTGAAACTCGAAAAATTAGAATATTGTGCAAAAGTTCATTTATTTCAGTAATGCAACTTAAAAGGTGAACCTAATATATGAGATAGACTCATTACATGCAAAGCAAGATAGTTCAAGCCGTGATGTGTCATAAGTGAGATGATTATGGCTTACAGCTCATGAAAACCCCAAATCCACAATCTCAGAAAATTAGAATATTCAATATTCTAGGCTCAAAGTGTCCCACTCTAATCAGCTAATTAAGCCATAACACCTGCAAAGGGTTCCTGAGCCTTTAAATGGTCTCTCAGTCTGGTTCAGTAGGAATCACAATCATGGGAAAGACTGCTGACCTGNGAAAAGATACCACATGACTCAGGGACACTGCAGCTGTCATAAATATGAATCAGTTGCCAAGTGTTTGAATTTTGATCAGGTGACCAAAGGGGAAACTGCAATGGTTGTGAGAAAAACAGTCCTAAGTCATTTTTTTTCAGGGCCATTGTAACTTCAAACAGTCACTAAATGAACTGTTGTAAGTTGAGGACTACCTGTATTTAAAATGCCATCTACTAAATCAGGGGTGTCAAACTGCCGGCCCACAGGCCGGATGCATCATAGCGAAACTGCGCCCACCCCATTGCCAACAAGGGCAAAAAAGTCACGATACGTCGCGACACATCACATGACATTGCGAGTTTGACACCCCTGTTCTTTAAAAATACAGATCTCACAGCGCAAGCACTTAACCTAGCTTTTCGATTTAAACATTTCTTGACTCTTTCATGCTTGCCTGATTAAAAGTCGTGGTAATCTAATATACCCTTTTGAGCCATTTGGTCCTGTAGATTTCGGATTTTCAAAGAAACACATGAAAAGAAGCCCTGCATTTCAGTACTGTTGCTCCAGAAAAAACAATGCCAGAAGAAGGGCCTGCCCTACCATTAGGCAGACATACAATCAGCTGGACTGTTGTAAAAGGGCAAGGAATCCTTCACTATTGAATGTACAGGTGAAACTCGAAAAATTAGAATATTGTGCAAAAGTTCATTTATTTCAGTAATGCAACTTAAAAGGTGAACCTAATATATGAGACAGACTCATTACATGCAAAGCAAGATAGTTCAAGCCGTGATGTGTCATAAGTGAGATGATTATGGCTTACAGCTCATGAAAACCCCAAATCCACAATCTCAGAAAATTAGAATATTGTGAAAAAGTTCAATATTCTAGGCTCAAAGTGTCCCACTCTAATCAGCTAATTAAGCCATAACACCTGCAAAGGGTTCCTGAGCCTTTAAATGGTCTCTCAGTCTGGTTCAGTAGGAATCACAATCATGGGAAAGACTGCTGACCTGACAGTTGTGCAGAAAACCATCGTTGACACCCTCCATAAGGAGGGAAAGCCTCAAAAGGTAATTGCAAAAGAAGTTGGATGTTCCCAAAGTGCTGTATCAAAGCACATTAATAGAAAGTT